TTTATCTTTTTCTCCTAAAAAATACGGTACAACTAGTTGAAAGTAGCATCCCGACAATCCGAACACCAAACGTTACATTCCAGGTTTTGCCGAGAGATTAACATCATATCATCACACTCCCTATAGGTTATTATTGCTGTTGTTAGAAGTTATTTTGGGCTTGTAATTATTGCCAAAAATTACGGGATCAGGAGAAAAATAGATGCCCCCATGGCCCGGAGGATCAACTGGCGGCCAAGGCATCAGCCCTGGGGCTGGGGCTTGTGTCCAGAAGCTGACTGAGCTTGGCCCGCGGGCTTCGATTCTCATGCGGGTCGCCACTATCTTCCGTGTTCCTCCGGTCACCCGAGTCGGAGTTGTTGACTCTGGCAAGTAGGTTGACCGTGCCGACAGGTTTTAGCCTCTGGTCCTCAAGTTTCACGAGGTTCATGTTGTCCTCAGCTGGACCCAGCTCAGCATCTTTCAATTTCTCCTGCATTTTTAATTTTATTTTTATTTAAAATGCTGTAAATCTACTGCATGAAAACCAAATGATTATCGAAATTAGAACTAGATTGTTAATGCATGATCTAACGTATACCATTAGGGTGGCATTTTGAAGCTTCAGATGTTCAGAGCTTTCGATTAACTTATTGATCTCTGATTTGAGGGTTATATTCTCAGCAGTCAGCACCTGCACCTTGACAGCTAGTTCCTCAGTCTCGGCCTGAGACGAGCAAAAGTTGAACAGAAAACATTTAGTAGTAAAGCGACGAGTCGAAGCAGACAATGGATAAAATGAAAATAGTTTATTATGACACACAGAAAGAAAATATTCTGAATCAGTCATATAACTAACCTGTTTTCTAAGGCGTGATCTTCGAGCAGATTCTCGGTTGGACTGTTTTCTCCTCTCCCGTTTCATCTCTTTTTCGTTCTATGACCAGATATAATGCGGGAGAGAATTAAGAAAAGAACATATTGGGGAATATATCAGCTTCCCAAATCTAGGGAAAGAATTGACGATGCATGATCAGCAAAAATTATCGACTCCTATCATATGTCAGAATATATATATATATATATATATATATAACCAGAAAAGATATTCGAGAAAGCTGTTCAGGCAGTTATCAAAGCCCACCAATATAACCAGTTGGGACATCTAATTGACGGCCTATAATCAATTGGCCACACAGAATATGTTCTGACGTTAAGACTGAAAACTATAGGGATAGAATTAATACTTATATGTTTATTATTATTATTATTAAGATTCTCAAGATGATTTCACTCATCAAAATCAGAAGATTCAAGTTACAATCGATATCCTTTTGTTACACACCTGCAAATAGGTTTCACTTGGCATCGATTGAGAAGGAACAGTAATTGGGCTGGACTTGACATCTTTGAGTACTAATGCAGTGTTTGTGTTCTCTATTGGTTTAACAGGCACATTAGCAGCAGGAGTTATTACATCTACTGTCTTCTCAGAAGCTTGTCCGACTTCCACAGCAGGAGCCTCACTGCTTTTTTCAGGGGCTTTGATATCTCCTGTTCCCAGCCGGTTAAAGCATTAGACAAACCATATATAAGACTGAAAGTGAGAGGTTAGAAACCAATTCATACAGCAAGTGCCAATGAGTCAACAAAACATTATATCAAAATGCTTGAGCATAACAATATATGTAACGTGTTGAAACATAAGAAACAGCTTACAGGCATAGAATCCATAAAAGTTTCCTTTATGTATTTTTATGCATATAGTTGCAGACAATAACAACTGCAACTGAAAAATTTGTATCATTAATATTCGACGCAAGAGTTGAGGCCACATATGTGCAAAAATGAACCTAACAAAAATCATAAGGAAACAAAAAAATTGTATCACTAATATTCGACCGAAAGTATGAAACTTGCAAAAAGTACAAAACCGGAATATAAGAGGGGACAAAAAAGAGGTTTCCAATGAGGATTAGAAGTCCCAGTTCAACTACGACGAAACTTTTAACATTGACAAAAATAAGTTTACCGTTGTTAGGAGATCCTTGCCTACTTCTCTTCTTGCCCCTCTGACCAGCCTAATTAAATGACAAACATAAAATGAGACACAACAAATATCAACTAAACAAACAATTGACAGTGAGCCTGGAATAAATAATCCGACAATAAAGGAGCAAAGAATTTAACAATCCAAAGAGTTTTACCTGCGGTGTAACTCCATTACTTCCATCACTTGAACCTCCAGTCTCCTCACTGTTTATAAAGAAAAGAAACTTGGCCCATTAGTCAAAGACATGTTTAAATAAGCAAGAACCATCAACATTGCACTGAAAAGTCGCCAGCACCAAAGTTTTACAGCTTATAAGCTCATAAAGAGTTTATTTGAAGGGTTTACAGTCACCCGGCCCCCACAACACCTCCTAAAAATATTAAAGACGAATTGACATGCCTTCTCAATGTTCACAAACCTGTCTGACGTTCTACGTTCAGTCCCATGATCAGCACTATCACCACTTCCATTGCCTATCGACATTGCTAGCCCATTAGGCTCTTTCAGTTTCTTCACAAAGCTTCCATCAGTGTTTCCTATTGACTTGGCCGGCGTTTCCATGTTCAAAGTGGTACTAGCCTACATCAAACACAATGCAATCACCAAATCATGTTATTCACCAACTTATATATATGTATACATATATGTGCGTGTGTGTGTGTGGTGTGTGAATTATTACCATAGGAACTCCAGGATGCGCATAAACTCCTCCGTGCGCATAGAATGCAGCATATGGAGCCCCATAAGGAGGCATCATAGACTGAAAAAAAAAAACACAAAAGAAAAGAATCTGATCGTAAGAGTTATTGTAGATTGGTAGAGTGCATTTGCGCACAGAACAAATTCAACCGACGCACAGTAAGAACAACCGATTTGGTACCTGTGGTGGAGCCCACATATAAGGTGGAGGAGCATGAGGAGAAGCAACAGCTGAGTTCATGTATGGTGGTATGGCAAACCGGGGACCATAGTAAGCCTGAAGGATAATGAATCATACACAATTCTCATTAAGAAAACCCATAACATGTTACGTGTATGGTTTTGCCAGAGAGAGAAAGTTGCATAGGCAGAGTGATATCACCTGCATTCCTGCCCAGTCAGGATATAAGTGGATGTTATTCTTGTCCTGCCATGTAAAAACCCACCTTGCTAATTAAGAAAGGGAAAAAAAAAAGTATACGTAGAAAATTGTTCAGATTTGAATAACACCAGTCGAGCATGAAAAAAGCGATTTTCATGTAAAAAAAAAAAAACATTGTAAGGTCATTCAGACAACAGAGTCCCAACTAATATCTTGCATTGTAAAATTACTGAGATAATTTTTTGGTGCTCACGGTTGCTACTGAAGACGATTTTTCGAGCTTGGAAGGCTTCACGTCATCACTGCTTCCCATGATATTCTCACGAACCTTTGCTGAATGACAACAAAAGAGAGATGGCAAGTATCAATGGTTCGTTCTGCCACATGAAAAGCATGCATATGACAGGGTTTGGACGACTAAATTAAGCCTCGTCAACACCCAAACAAATACAGCTCGAATATCGGATTCTAATGGACTATGAGCACCAATATGAAACCCTCATTCTTCAACTTTTGCCAATTCATATTCTTATAGCTCATGGCAAAGTTGTATAAGTAAGTCAGTTGGATATCAGTTATAAACAGAAGAACAAGCATAAGGGCAATATCGTCCTTTTTTACACCTCCCAAGTCCCAACCAGCCACGGCATCCCTGCTAATCTAGCTGTCTCCAATCCAACAAAAATTGCACAATGACAAAAATATCCTCGTCAACTACCTAAAATTCTGAACTAAAAACCATGAAATTATCAAATCATATGAAATTAAGCCGCCTGAACATGAGAATAAAATTGAAAGCCAGAATAAAATAAAAATTAAAAAAAAAAAAAAAATGAAATTTTCATCAAATTCCTGTAAATTCTGTGCAATATGCAATTAACAAATCTGAAATAACAGCTTAGAATTTTCATAATTTCACAATTTAATAACTCGTCGCCGCCCGTCAGAATAAACAGAACTAAAAACCCCCCACAAGAGGCAGAGTTAATTAGTTCATTTTTGAACTAATTCAAGGTAAGATTAAAAGGCACAAAAAAAAAATGGACGAAATAATTAAGTGGATGAACAATTAAATTAAATCGTAAGAAAAAATGATAACTCACAACTTGATCAGCAAAAGTACAATCATAGGAAATGCTAAGTTCCCGTTATCATTCCGTCGGAGTTTGTAAAATCTCGACCGAATAATTCCGTAACGGGATCGTAGCATCTTCCACAATCATAAGGCCTCAAATAAATTCAGCTAACACCAGGATATTTGAAAAAGAAAGAACAGCTGTGTGATAAGTGAACATACCTTGAAAAAATGAATTAGGAGCCCTAATTACGAATTCCAAGCAAAATTTATGCCACTAAACTCCATGCATTTTTTTTCTCTCTCCTCTCTCTCTCTCTCTCTAGATGTGCTTTTTTTACAGTGGAGCTTTTCTCCTCTCTCTCTCTCTCTCTCTAGATGTGCTTTTTTTACAGTGGAGCTTTTTAGAGAGAGAAAAAAAGGTAGGAGAGGGACGGAGGAGGAAGAAGAAGAGAGAGGGGGAACGCCAAGGCAACAGTCCACGTCACACAACACGTGTCTATGTACAAAATATTGTCAGTATTAAATCCCGTATAAATCTCGTGCAATACAATACAATACAATGTGAAAAAATATTAGAGTGAACGCCAAATTCCGTTTAATACAATTCAACGTTTCAAAGCTACAATTAAAATTTAAATTTTATTACTTTTTTTTTTTTTGTTTTATATTTCGTCATTAATAGCTTTTGCTGTTTGACCGCTGCTATGTTTTTTTTGTGTATGTCTGTGTCTGTGATTTGTATCATATCTTCTTCTATTGCATATTATATAAATTGATGCTCGTGATCAGTAATATAATAATAATACTCATTAAAAATAAATGAAACAGAAGGTCAATATTTGTGTTTTTAAATTTTATATTTCGTTGTGAATTTTATGAAAGGTCGGAGTACATTTAACCAGCCCATAAGTCACACTAGTACAGATCCCGTGCGATGCACGAGTGCATAAAACTAAGGTCATTTATCAAGTCTTATAATTATATAAAATGAATAAAGAAAAATGTACGGGATATATATATTACGTGACCTGTAATAGGCCAAAATGTGAACACAGGTGATGCACGGGGTGCATAATTTTAATGTCATTTATTAGTACAGAGTCCGTGCGATGTACGGGGTGCACAATTTTCTAGTATGTGATACAAATACATACCGT